TGGCGGCTGATCTACCCACGATGGGCAAGAATCATCGTGGTTCGGGGGGACTCAAGGGGAAGATGGCGGCACTGGCTACATCTCACTGGCCGTGTTAATTCTGCTCATGTTAGCCTCACTCGGGCGCAGCAACACCAGGCACAAAAAAGTGCACAGGGCGAGTTGTGAAGAGGCCCAGGGCCGTCGCGTTAGCAGCTGAGAGGGGCTAAATTGTGTTTTCACGCGTATCCCCTTCCTGACCAGCCCGCGGGAGCCATACTCACGCTCATGCTCACTGTGTGGACTCCAGGGGGAAGCCAGGCATGGGAGAACTCGGCCAGGACAAGCCCTGCAGATGGAGCCATGGCTAATGGGTACCGTTGGTATGGTTCTGTACTCCTGAGCAATTCCCTCCCCTGCCCACTCACTCCCAAAACCCTGCTCTCAATTGGCTTTTCTACACCCAGCTGCAGCTCTCAGGGCCCAGAGGACAACAGGGAGAACCACCAGGAAGGACCCTACCCCAACCCAGATTGCGGGCACACCACAGCCTCCTGCTTACAGAGAGGTTGCTGCAGATACACCCCCCCGATAGAATCAGCTCTATTATAATCTGGCCAATACGGGTGTCAGGAACAATCGGAGGCAGCATACGGGTGTCAGGAACAATCGGAGGCAGCATACGGGTGTCAGGAACAATCGGAGGCAGCAGGATTCGGTGGGTAGAGCACAGCAGCGGGTTTCGCTCGGCTGTTGCCCTGCTGCAGGTGACCCAAGATGTGCCATTTTTCTAACCCCACTGCCTCCATTTACCCTCGTCCCATGGGCTTTTTAGACTGATCTAAGAGGGACCTAACCGCCTTTGTATCAGAGGAGCGGTGCACGGCCCCCGCTGTAAATAAGGGGGCGACTTTGGACAGAAGACCACCCTTGGTGTCCCTCTCGGCTCCCAGCTGGAGCTGTTCATAAAGCAGGAGGAGTTTGGGGCTCTGTTGGCATCACAGGAGAGTCTTCATATTCCGCATTGCCATTTTCACACGCCCACCCCTGTTCGTGTCATGTGACAGTGAGCCCACAAGCCGGAGAACCCACCCCCCTAATCCACCCTAACTGCACACAGAGCAGTGGATCAAAAGGACCAATTAGACCAACATCCAACCCATGACCAGCCTCGTTCTACCAATAAGGCCATCGATCCTGATTGGAACAAGATTAGTTTCAATGCTCCCTCTGCAACTTCTCCTCTTGCCTGATGTTTGCACGGAAACATCATGGCTGTCTCTACCCTGCAAAACGGCCGCTCTTGTGCAAAAACCTGCCACCTGTCTACACTGGCTGTGTGTTCTTGTGCAAGTAAACTGACGTTGTACTGTACAAAATCAGAGCTTCTTGCGCGAGAACTCTGACGCTCCCACTCAGGAAGAAGCCGTCTTGCACAAGAGCTCTTCCAGAAGAGGCCAGTGTGGACATGCAACATGAATTTCTTGCGCAAGAAGCCCCTATGGTTAAAATGGCCATCAGAGCTTTCTTGCGCAAGAGAGCGTCTACACTGGCACGGATGCTCTTGCGCAAAAGCACACGGCGGAGTGGACGCTCTCTTGTGGAAGAGTTTCGCGCAAGAACTCTTCTGCAAAAAGAGTTCTTGCGCAAGAAGCTGCCAGCGTAGACGCAGTCCATCAGGCGCACGGCTCTTCCATCATCAGGTGTGGGGTTGAGGGGGCCAGTCTTACCCCACAGCTCAGAAGCGAATGTGGCTCGAGTTGAGGGGGGTCGGGACCTGCCAAAGGAAAGACAGCAATTTACGGAGAAGGGCTGCTGCTTTGGACATTCAAAAGGAGGGCCAAGCAAATTCAGCACCGGCAAGGCCACATCTGGAGTATTGTGTCCAGTTCTGACCCCCCCTCCCCACTACACAAAGGATGTGGACACATTGGAGAGGGTCCAGCGGAGGCAACCCAAATGATGAAGGGGCTGGAGCACATGACCTACCAGGAGAGGCTGAGGGATTTGGGCTTGTTTAGTCTGCAGAAAAGGAGAGTGAAGGGGGATTTTAGAGCAGCCTTCAACTCCCTGAAGGGAGGTTCCAAAGAGGATGGAGGGAGGCTGTTCTCAGTGGTGACAGAAGGAGCAATGGTCTCAAGTTGCAGTGAGGGAGGTCTAAGTTGGATATTAGGAAAACTATTTCACTAGGTGGTGTTGAAACACTGTGGAATCTCCATCCCTGGAGGTTTTGAAGTCCTGGCTTGATCAAGCCCTGGCTGGGATAATTGGGGTTGGTCCTGCTTTGGGCAGGGGGCTGGACTCGTTGACCCCTGAGGTCTTGGCCAGCCCAGGAAGCCTATGAAATTCCACCCTCGCAGCAGTCCAGAGACCAAAGACGTGGCGAACCGACAAAGGTCTGGCTTTTGATTTTATTCTGGAAAATAGTTTCTGCACCTTAAAGTTTTCTTCCGCAGCATGACGTTTGGACATAAAAACAGCATCTCCCTCCACGCCCCCTCCCGCTCCAAATTTGTTCCTCTCCTCCCCCTTTTCCACAGGGTAACGGCTTTATGGTTGGGCTGGGCACGTGGTTCCAACTCTTGGCCCTCCCCCTCCTGCAGCGGGAAGGGGGCACCAACAGGGAGGGAAATCGTGGACGAATCCCAACCCCCGGGGCAGAGGGAGCACCATTGGCACAAGAGGCAGCTGGTTCGAATCAACGTCGTTGATTGAAGGGTGGGTTTCAAAGCCGACGCTCCTCGGTGTGGACCCCGGGCCCTCCAGAGATTGGGGGTGAGGGAATGGGGTCATCTCTCCCAGAGCACCACGGGTGGCCAATATCGACTGTTCTCTTGAGGGCCCCTCCGCCAGAACCTTGCACCACTTTGCCTCTGCCAAGAGAAAAGGCAGCAACACTCCTGTCCCTGCAGGAGCAGGAAGGGCTGGCCGGGAGAGCGCCCTGGATCATCTTCCTCGCCTTGGAGCCAACCAGCGTCTAAGGCCCCTCTCGGCTGGCGGTGCGAGCAACAAGCCCCTGCCTCGGTGCCACGTGCGGGGAGGGTGGCACAGCCTACTGACCGGCGTGAGACGTGCCCCAGGCGCAGCAGAAAGGCCGGCCCGGCTCCCAAATTCCTGCCCAGGAGAGCAGCACGGAGGTGACCCCGCCTGGCTGGCTCCCCAAAGCGCTGGCTGGAGCCTGCCTACAAAAGGATCTTCCTCGCTCAGAGATCCTGCCTTCCGAGAGATTCCCCCCCCTCCCAGCTCCAGGAGGGGAGACAAGTGACACACACACACACACACAAAATCACCCGTACTCCGAGGAAGCTCCCCGCGCTCCGGAGAGAGGGGACGGTTTGGAGGCATTTTCAGACCCTTTAATGTGCTCCTGGAACAGCCACTCCTCCTTGGCTGGTGCCGGGTGCGGCAGCTGGAGCGTAGGGCCGCTTCTGTTCTCTCCCCCCCTCCCCAAATCCTTTGCCAAATGTATCCTAGAGCACCCAGCAACGTCCCGGATGCTGTAGAATGACAAGAGGAGGCTTGGTCTCCCTCCTCCACCCACTCTCCGGTTGGGGACAATACAAGGGATTGAAAACAACCAAAAAAACCTGAATACAGCAAAATAACACGGTGGGGATAGAAGTTACCCTTTGGTGTGGTCTACGTTTTGGCCAAATGAGGTCTGAATTGTAACTCCCCTTCCCAGCAGTGGCTCTTGAATAGCTCAGCAGCACCTCTTAGAGACTTGGGGGAGGGGATGGGGGGGAGGGTGGCTAGCCCCAGAGATAAGGCAGGGCTCCTTGTCAGAGCCCCTTCTCGTGCCCCACCGCCCCGGGGGTGGAGACCTCTCCCCACATTGCTGCATCATGGGTCCTCTCCTCGGTGGCGGCGAGGGAACCCACCCCCCTCTGGCAGGGACCGAGCCAACTTGGAACTGAATTTCAGCCAGGGAGAGGAGGGAGGTCCTTGCTGAGGAGTAAGGCAAGCTGCTCGGACCTCTTCCTTGCCAGGGAGAGCGACACAAGTCAGACCACACAGGCCCGGCTCGGTCACCAGCTTCCTCCACGCTCCCCCCAGCAAAGCGGCGATGACGGAGGAAGGGCAGGGACTGCCGCGGCGGAACGCCCCTTGGAGAAACACTGCTGGGTAGAGAGACGCCAACGCCGCACGTACCCCAGAACCGGAGACCTTCTCCGAGGAGGTAAAGGGGCGAGAAGGAACAACGCTAGACGTGCTCCGAAGGAGACACAGAAGAGGTCGTCACAAACGTAGCACTCCTTGCCCCTACAGGACTCCCCTATGGCTAGTGCTTGGCTCTGGAGGACCAGCCAGGGCGTCCCGTCATCTCTAACGCCCCCCTCCCCAGCTACGGCTGGAGGTGACCCCGTCCCTCCGCCCAAGGACAAAGAACTGTGAATTGCCAAAGATCCAAAGCAGGTCCTGGCATCACCCCACGTCCCTTGCATGGCACTCACGAGTTGCCCCTACAGGACTCCCCTATGGCTAGTGCTTGGCTCTGGAGGACCAGCCAGGGCGTCCCGTCATCTCTAACGCCCCCCTCCCCAGCTACGGCTGGAGGTGACCCCGTCCCTCCGCCCAAGGACAAAGAACTGTGAATTGCCAAAGATCCAAAGCAGGTCCTGGCATCACCCCACGTCCCTTGCATGGCACTCACGAGAGGCTTCAGCTTGGTTCAGCGTTGGCTCTGGCCATGGAGAACCCACCAGGGATGTGGTAACGGGGAGATCACAATGTCAGGCAGGGGGGGGCACTGAGGGAGGGGTGGGGCAAAAGGGTGGGGGGAATCTCAGCATG